TAAAAGACTATTACTTAATGACACATATTCCATATACATTTGAAATAATTCAAATTATCTAATGAGTCTCGATAGTATATTTATTCACCATATTCATAATGTATTATGGTATAATAGATGTAAACAGTTTCAGTATTTTCTAATTCTCCTTCACCAAATCTTAGGTTACTTCATCACTAAGAAACTAAGTTAAAAGACTATTACTTAATGACACATATTCCATATACATTTTAAATAATTCAAATTATCTAATGATTCTCGATAGTATATTTATCCACCATATTCATATTGTATTATGGTATAATAGATGTAAACAGTTTCAGTATTTTCTAATTCTCCATCACCAAATTTTAGGTTACTTCATCACTAAGAAACTAAGTTAAAAGACTATTACTTAATGACACATATTCCATATACATATGAAATAATTAAAATTATCTAATGAGTCTCGATGGTATTTTTATTCACCATATTCATATTGTATTATGGTATAATAGATGTAAACAATTTCAGTATTTTCTTATTCTCCATCACTAAATCTTAGGTTATTTCATCACTAAGAAACTAAGTTAAAAGATTATCACTTAATGACACATATTCCATATACATTTGAAATAATTAAAATTATCTAATGAGTCTCGATAATATATTTATCCACCATATTCATATTGTATTATGGTATAATAGATATAAACAATTTCATTATTTTCCTTCTTTTCCATCACCAAATTTTAGGTTACTTCTTCACCAAGAAACTAAGTTAAAAGACTATTACTTAATGACACATATTCCATAAACATTAGAAATAATTCAAATTATATAATGATTTTCGATAGTATATATATTTACCATATTCTTATTGTATTATGGTATAATAGATGTAAACAATTTCAATATTTTTCTTCTTCCCCATCACCAAATTTAAGGTTACTTCATCACTAAGAAACTAAGTTAAAGGACTATTAATTGATGACACGTATTTTATATACATTGAAAATAATTCAAATTATATAATGAGTCTCGATAGTATATTAATTCACCATATTCATATTGTATTATGGTATAATAGATGTAAACAATTTCAATATTTTTCTTCTTCTACATCACCAAATTTTAGGTTACTTCATCACTAAGAAACTAAGTTAAAAGACTATTACTTAATGACACATATTCCATATACATTTTAATAATTCAAATTATCTAATGAGTCTCGATAGTATATTTATTCACCATATTCATATTGTATTATGGTATAATAGATGTAAACAGTTTCACTATTTTCTAATTCTCCATCACCAAATTTTAGGTTACTTCATCACTAAGAAACTAAGTTAAAAGACTATTACTTAATGACACATATTCCATATACATTTGAAATAATTCAAATTATCTAATGAGTCTCGATAGTATATTTATTCACCATATTCATATTTTATTATGGTATAATAGATGTAAACAGTTTCCGTATTTTCTAATTCTCCAGCACCAAATTTTAGGTTACTTCATCACCAAGAAACTAAGTTAAAAGACTATTACTTAATGACACATATTCAATATACATAAGAAATAATTCAAATTATCTAATGAGTCTCGATAGTATATTTATTCACCATATTCATATTGTATTATGGTATAATAGATGTAAACAGTTTCAGTATTTTCTAATTCTCCATCACCAAATTTTAGGTTACTTCATCACCAAGAAACTAAGTTAAAAGACTATTACTTAATGACACATATTCCATATACATTTGAAATAATTCAAATAATCTAATGAGTCTTGATAGTATATTTATCCACCATATTCATATTGTATTATGGTATAATAGATGTAAACAGTTTGAGTATTTTGTAATTCTCCATCACCAAATCTTAGGTTACTTCATCACTAAGAAACTAAGTTAAAAGACTATTACTTAATGACACAAATTCCATATACATTTGAAATAATTCAAATTATCTAATGAGTCTCGATAGTATATTTATTCACCATATTCATATTGTATTATGGTATAATATATGTAAACTGTTTCAGTATTTTCTAATTCTCCATCACCAAATCTTAGGTTACTTCTTCACCAAGAAACTAAGTAAAAAGACTATTAATTAATGACACATAATCCATATACATTAGAAATAATTCAAATTATATAATGAGTCTCGATAGTATATTTATTCACCATATTCATATTGTATTATGGTATAATAGATGTAAACAATTTCAGTATTTTCTAATTCTCCATCACCAAATTTTAGGTTACTTCATCATTAAGAAACTAAGTTAAAAGACTATTACTTAATGACACATATTCCATATACATTTGAAATAATTCAAATTATCTAATGAGTCTCGATAGTATATTTATCCACCATATTCATATTGTATTATGGTATAATAGATGTAAACAGTTTCAGTATTTTCTAATTCTCCATCACCAAATCTTAGGTTACTTCATCACTAAGAAACTAAGTTAAAACACTATTACTTAATGACACCACTAGTGCAGAAATGACTTTTTACATCGGGTGAAATTGACTTTTTACATCGGTTCTGGGTCCGATGTAAAGTCAGGCGATATAGTAAATCAGGGACTTTTTACATTGGTTCTGGGACCGATGTAAAAAGTCCCTTTTTTACATCGGTTATAATATCAGAACCGATGTAATAACCTGTTATTATGCATATTTTTTAAAAAATTGATCCAGTTTTTTACATCGGTTGGAAGTAATACCCGATGTAAAAAGTCCCTTTTTTACATCGGTTATAATATATGAACCGATGTAAGAAACAGTTATTATGCAAATTTTTTTTAAAAATTGATCCAGTTTTTTACATCGGTTGGAAGTAATACCCGATGTAAAAAGTCCCCAGTGACACGACTTTTTACATCGGTTATTATCCCCAACCGACGTAAAAAGTCCCTTTTTGAAAGTTTTTACATCAGTTTTTACTAATAACCGATGTAAAATGTATGAAATTTTTTTGGAATAAATTATTTATTTTCTGGATGTTTCCCTGTACAAATATAATTTGTACCCATTTTTTCATATTTTTCCAATATCACACAGACTATATTTATGTCGCTATATAGATTTCATAGCTTTCCAACATCACATATATCACATCTAGGTCGATGTTTTCATATTTTTCACAACAAACTTACAAATTGAACAATTGTATTGCAAACTTGTATTGTATTACAACAAACAAACTTACAATTACAAATTCTTCACAAAATATACAACAATATTCAACTATTTATAAGTCTTTTTTCAAAACTTACAATTACATATTATTCACAAAATATACAAAAAATATTCAACTATTTATAAGTTTCCAAACTTAAATTACCAATATAAAATCTCTGGTAGACAACTAAATAATCAGTATACTGATATATACACTCATCCTAAAAGAAGACCCAATTACCCTTAACATAACAAGCCTCCAAATTTTTACACAACACTCCGTTCTTTCTGTTTTTGTTTCCGCTTCAATCTCTTTGTTTTCTTTGTTTTTGCCCCATAGAACGGAGTAAAGTCCTATTACGATCAAAATTGCTCCAATAACACTGAAAATCATAAATTAAATAAATAAATCAATAATGAAAACAAATTATTTACCTACTTTCTCATTTTGTGTTTTTATTTTATTTTTATGATTGTGATGTTTCCTTTTTTTATTGATTTATGATAAGAAAATGATAGAAAGTATAGAGAAGAAACCGCATGAAAGTAAAGTATCTTTCCCACTGAAAATTGATTAGTTCATAATTCATTTCATTGAACAAAGGTTTTAATTAAATTTGTGGTCCACTTGTGATGCAATAGTAAAGTTTCAGATGTATCAGCATCCCAACATTATAATTGTGGTTGCATTCTTCACACATCTGTCTCTTTTTTTCTTCAAAAATTCGATATAGAGATAAATACAAATTAGACCAAAAATAGAGAATAAAAAACTTTATATAATGGACTTACCCTCCAAGATATAATTTTTCATCAAGGATGAAAGTGGCCATGGTTGCTACAATGATCATCATCAAAGGACTAAAAGCAGTCACAAAAACTGGTCCTTTCTTTTGCATCACAATTCCTTGTACATAATATGTAAGACCTGATGATATTATACCCTGTTTGTTCATCAATGTTTAGCTCCATTAATTAAAATCCTCCATAAACATAACAAAATACCTAGATATTAGGAGAAAAACTTACAGCATAGGCTGCAGCTAATAAATTCATGTCCAAACCAATGTTCCAAACATTTGGTTTATGCTCCATAACAAAATAAAAACACTTATTTAAGAACAAATTAAAATGGATTATACAAGATTAATGGTGATCTAAAGCTTACCGAGTTTGTTCGATAACAGGAATTTATGATGTGAATATTCTAATCAGTTTATAACAAAGTGATAAGGAGACAGACGTCTCTGAAATGGGCATTCTCCTTATGAAACATTCTCATGTCAAGAGAGAATGGTTAGATAACCGACCTATTAATAGTACATCTGGGATTTTAATCTTTGATTTGTTTTGACAAATGTCCAGATAAACTTTACTTCATTGATTATGAATATGCATCATACAACTACAGAGGCTATGACATAGGGAATCACTTTGCAGAATATGTCGGTTTTGAATGTGACTACTCCTTGTAAGTTCTTTATGCTTGCTTTTCTTGCTTTACATGATCACAATCAATTTTATTTATTCCACATTTTATCATGCAGGTACCCAAATATGAATGAACAATATCATTTCTTCAGGCATTACTTACAGCCGGACAGACCTCAAGAGGTAACAATCATAGTGAAGGGGATTAATATTTAAAATTGCATTTTATTCATTGTTTCCTTATTATCAATCGTCTGTAAAATGAGATGCACATAGTCTATCAACTATTTTGGTTTGTAATGTCTAGATTAAAAAAAACAAGTTCAGTGCTGCTTATAATTTGTAAGATATATTTTTTATTTTTGGGTGGAGGAGGGGGGTCACATTGGCGACTCCTTTTCATATTTGCTACAAAATTCATCCTAGTTTATCACAAGTGAAGAAAATAACACCAAGTTAACTAATTTAATACTAAAAACATATAAAAAGAAAAGGAACGTATATCATATATATATATATATATATATATATATATATATATATATATATATATATATATATATATAAAATATACCTGAAAATAACAGCCATTACAAAAGTCATTACAGGGAGAATATTGCTAATAGCACAAGAGTATGTTGGAGATGTGAATTTCAACCCAGCATAGTATAGATTCTGATCAATCACAGGCCTAAACAAAACAAAAACACTTATTTAAGAACATTTTTGGAATAGTTAACATTGCGATTCAGATGAACTAACTATAGTGTTTTTTAGAAATTTCGACAGCAAAGAATCTAAATCCATCAGAAAACACCGCGAGAAAAGTACTAACCCGAGGAGTCCCAATACAAACATTTGCATGAACATAAGAAACGTAATCCTTGGCCTTATCTTCCTGCCAACGACAAGAAAGAAGGAAGGATCAGAAAGTGGTTTTCTCAAACAAAAAATCAGTCAGAAAATGAATGATTGTTGAATACCTCTCAAGAACTATAGCGAATGGAGCAATAGCTGCTGTAGCAAAAGCATGTCTATAAACAACAAGAACATAGTGACTCATTCCTCGGTTGAGAGATACTTTTGTTATTATATTCATACCAGCAAAACCAAATTGAAGACAAATCATAGCTATGTATGGCTTGCACCTTTGAAACAAACTTGAACAACATTTATCTCCTTCCATTACTAGTACTACGTTATTGTTTGTATTGTATACAGAGGAAGAGAAGAACACTTGAATGTGTTTGTGTTGTGTATTTTCTTCTTGAGTGTAAAACGTCATGCTTTCTATTGTATTTATAGATAGAAAAATAGTATAATATACAATTAAATTAAACAGTTGAAAACAAACATTAACAACCAATAATTAGAAAAAGCAATCTATAATGAATCACTATCTATATTATAGTACACTCTCTAATGAATCACTATCTATATATATAAGAGAAAACAATAACAGAAGGCGTTTCACTCACAAACAAGCATAGCATTATAAAAAAAAGTTGTGAAATAGTGGCAGTATAGAGTATCAGAACTTAACAAACCACTAAAGTTTGTGACACGCGATTTAGTACAAAATGTTGTCAAATTCAAATAGCAGATATACAATTTAGCCTAGCAGAATTAGGACAAACTTTCTATTGACAATACGAGTAAGAAATAGACTACTCTTCAATCTTAAATTCTAAATCTTGAAATGCTTAATGAGATAATGCAAACAAAGCAAGCTAAGAATCATGATTCATGAGAATTAACATAGAAAAAATGAAATAGAACAATGAAATAGTGAAAACCTTGTTGGATCTCCATGACTAGCCAGCCAAGGCTCCACCACTAAAGCACCAAAAGAATCAACAATATGCCTATGATTATCCTTGTTAAACTCCCCACCACCACCACCACCATGGCTTCCTCCACCAACCCCCATAGATTTACTACACTCGGCCAAATTCGCCTGCTTGGCCAACCAATTCAACACCTTCAACCCATCCTCAAACGCAGCCAGATACCTACTCTCCGGCGCCAACCTATACCCAACCGCAACGACAATCACATCACAAAGCTTGGCGATCCGCCGACAAAACAAATCGTTCGCCACCGAATCATTACTACCACTAACCCACCCCCCACCATGAAACTGCAACATCACCGGTAATTTCCTTCACCGATTATCCAACGCCGGCGAGTAACCACGGTACAAACCAGCACCGGTTTCAACACCAGCTCCCATCAAATTCAAACCCTCAACAGCGTTACTATTCCTCCCTCGGAGCTGCTCTTCCCTGAACGGAGGACCATAGCTACTTCTCCGTACAGATCCAGGTTCGGGAGTATGTTGTTTAGGTTTGGAATGTGGCTCGGGAGGAGAAAGAGCGGAGTGAGGAAGAAAGATTCGGATAGAGAGAAGTGAAAGGATCGATGTGGATATCCTTGGTGGCGACGCCGTCGGTAAAAGAAGGGTTAGAGTTAGCGACGGATTCTTCGGGTCGTGAAGTGATACCAAACGAGTTGGAGTTATTGTCGGGTTGGGCTTGAATCCGGTTTTGTAAACGGTGCTTCAAGAGGAACTTGAAGAATACGCTGTAGAGTTTTACAGCCACACTTGGCATTTCTCAGGGAAGGAACTCCAGTTTTGAGTTTTGGATAATAATGATAATAGTATGGTTTTTCTTTTAGGAATGGAAAGTGGGGAAATTGAAGTTAAAGTTTAGAAGATTGGGAATAGGGTTTATGAAAAGGAGAAATTGGTTTGGAAGATGATGGAGTGAGGTGAGAGATAAGAGATGGGTTTGGTGATTTGCTTTAGATACAACTTTTAGCTGGTATGCCGGTGTGTCTAGTTGGCTTTTTCGAGATGGAGTGGTGGAAGAATAACGATGGAGTTGTAATTTTTCTACTGTTTGGGAAATAAGGGTTTGACACCTATTACATCGGTGCATTGTAATACCTGATGTAAGGGTTGGCAAGCTATTACATCGGTGCATTGTAATACCCGATGTAAGGGTTGGCAAGCTTTTTTTTTATTTTTACAATGCACCTATTACATCGGTGCATGTAATACCCGATGTAAGGGTTGACAAGCTTTTTTTTCTGACTTTTTTTTTATAATGCACCTATTACATCGGTGCATTGTAATACCCGATGTAATAAGTTGCAAAAAAATTAATTTATTCTTTAATTTATTTTTTATATTAATATCTATTGTGAAGATATTACATCGGTGTTTAGTCAACCGATGTAA